TAATTTTTTGATTTATTATAGAGACGAGGTCTCACCAAGTTGCCCAGGCTGGGCTCAGGCAATCCTCTCACCTCACCCTCCCAAAGTGCTGGGATTACAGGCGTGAGCCACTGCACCTGGACCCGAGCATCTTTTTATAAGTTTAAGAACCAGTTGAAATTCTAATAATATAAAATCTCTGTTCATAACCTTTGACCATTTTTAATTTGGTAAGTTGGCCTGCTATTAATTACTAAGAGTCCTTTATATATTGGGGGGCTAGGGTGCTAACTCTTGCTCTTATCTGTGATCCAAATTTCAATTTGACTTTTGTCTCCCCTTATGTTTTTTCCAGGTGGTCAAATTGATCAGTGTTTTTCTTTGCAAAGACCCTGTGTTATTTCAGATTTGATCTGTTGTGCCTGAGACACTGTCTAATGCATTTTAGGTCCTCAATTAATATTCGATGAGGACATTTCCTGCTCTAGTTGTTGCTATTATGCACGACTGATTTCCTGAGGAGAAATTAGAGCCCATGTGATATGATAAAACTGCCCCAAACACCATTTATTATCTACTACATAAGTTGGGATGCTTTGGGCTGCAAGTAACTCAGGAATGGTATAGGACCAACAGGTTGGTATGCTCGCTGTGTGGTAACAGACCAATTACACTGAGACAGCAGGGTTTGCAGCAGAGAAAGAGTTTAATGACCACATGGTGCTGAGTGACGAGATGGGAGGGGAACCCTCAAATCCCTCTCCCCAGGGGGCTCTGGGCTAGTGTTTTTATGGGGATAGTGGAAGGAGAAGAGCTGGAAAACTGGTGCCATTGGTTGGTCAGGGTATGGGGGATGAGTTCCTCAGGATGTGGAAACTGCATTCTTTGGGTCGGCCCCTAGGAGGGTCCCCCAGCCCAGCTGGCATCAGTGGGGTCCTTCAGCCCAGCTGGCATCAGTAGTTTCACTAACACAGGACTTGAGAGAATATCTCGGAGGGAAAACATACTTCGTGATGCTCAAGTTGTGATCTGTAGAGCCGTTAGCCATCATCTTGTAATCAGATCCAGGTGATGCCAGGACAACAGGCACCAACAGCTCTGAGGACAGAGGTCAGAGTGCCGATCCGTGACTGACGCTGAGTGTGCTGCTGCAAGCTTGGCTTCTTTCCATCTCCCCTCCTCTTGCTCCCTGATTCATTTTATAAAATTTATAGAGGTGGTTCCAGGAAGAAACAACTCAAAATATTTAAACCACGAGGACATTCACTAACTCACGTAGTACGTTTAACCTGGTCATCTTTCCTGGACAGTTTCCCTTTTTGGAATTTTGCAGCGCTGCACCAATGGAAATCCTTGCTGGGTGACTTCCTCCACAGCCTCTGCTTGAAGAACGTGACTGTTGCTCACAGATGGAGCCAAATGAGAGGAGACAGAGTCCAGGGATGGAGCCAGGGTGGTTGAATTTGAGAGACATGTCATTTGGGGGTTCTGCATTTGGGGTTTCTGAGGCCACACGTTCCCGAACCTTTGAGTCAAGTGAGCCAGTGAATTCTAGTTGTTTGCTTAAGCCACTTCAATCGTGTTTTTGTCATTTGCAATAAAAAAAATCCCAATGGCAGCTCTATGACTTCTAAATCCTGTGGGGTATGCAAATTCCTTTGGCCCCAGAGACAGACATGGGGACTCCTACTGGGCTGTCTGAGAAATTCTGGAGCTATGGTTGGACTTCTGAGAGGCCAGCAGCTTTTGTATGTGAGTCGGAATAGTCCAGAATGTTCTGGAGAGCAGCACAACACTGCTGGGGAAACAGTGAAAGCAGGCAGCCAGGGGCCATGAAATCTCGGTCATGCACCCATCCACCCACCCACTCACCTGCTCATCCATCCCCCTACTCATTCACATATTCATCCATTCATTTACTCATCCATCCATCTACCCACTCACGTATCCATCTATCCACCCATCCACTCACTCCTCCACCCACCCATCTATTCATCCATCCCCCCACCCATTCCCCCATCCATTCATTCACCTACTCATCCACCTACCCACTCACTCATACATCCATCTATCCATCCTCCCACCCATCTACTCATCCATCCATCCACCCACCCGCCCAGCTACTTATCCATTCCTCCACCCATTCACCCATCCATCTATCCATCTGTTCACCTATCTACTCTTCCATCCATCCATCCATCCATCCATCCATCCATCCATCCATCCACCCACCCATCTACTCACCCATTCCTCCACCCACCCATCCATCCATCCAACACCCATCCATCTATTCATCTACTCATTCATTCATCTACCCAGTCTGCCACCCATCTATCCATCCCACACACCTGTCTACTCGTCCATGCATCTACCCAATCCATCCATCCATCATTTATTAAGTGCTGCCTCTGTGCCAGGCTCTGTGATGAGTTCTGAGTTTACAGAGACGAAAGAGACACTATACTTGCATCCCAGTAGCTTCTAGTCATCTAGAATCCAAGCTAAAACACTCCCTTTAAAAAAAACCACTCCCTTTAGAGACTGTGAACTGCTAGTTTCTGTCAGAATCGTCTTTGACACACAGTCATCACAACAAAGAAGTAGCTGACCACCTAGGTACTTTAATTTCAGGATTAAGCAGAAGGTTCATCTGTTTCACCCCAAACCTCTTCCTCCCTCTCCCTTTTTCTTGGCTTAAGCCAGTTTCCGTTGCGTTTTATTCTTCCACAACTGAAAAAGCCCAACACATTTGGAAGCCCCAAGCGTGGTAAAAAGCGACTCCACCCTACCCCACTTCAAAATGTAAACGTGGTTTTATTTAATGCCTTTTATCCATCACAAAGTACTGCTATCCTTCCCAGTGTCCCCCTCGTCCTAGAAAACAAGATGGCAGCGTAAGGCACGTGCAATGTCCACATGACGTCCAGTAGGGTCTTTAAAACAAAAATAAGCCATAGTTTCCCCAACAGCCCGAATCGCCTCCCTGGCTAACGTTCAAAGAATGATTGTCCCCCGAAGCACGACTTGGAGAAGAGAGTGCTTAAATTAGAACCGTGAACCACCCCACATGCCAGCTGAAAAAACAAAACCGAGCCAACGACTAAGAAAACCAACACAAGCACAAGAACATAATGCCAGAGTAATGGGATTAGTCCATAAATTAAAAAGAAAACGAATGATCCCCCCTCCTCACAGCCCCCCCTCAACCCAGCAGGTCCTTGCTGTGTTCTGAGAGTCTCGCAGAAACTTCTGGACTCCGAGCCAGCCCTTTTTCCCGGCAGTCGAGTCTTCTGTAGTCAATGCCAGCCGCTTGGCTTCTGGGGCCCCTTGTCTGGGCCTCTGCGATGGTCACTGGACACATCCTCTTGGCTGCGAGGACCCTGTCTGGTGTCCAGCGTCCGGGTCTTTGGAGTTCTTGGCGGGAGGAGGGGAGGGCGAGGGAGCCTGGAGGGTGGGCCGACAGGTGGAGATGCCCCTCATCTTGCTATAAATATTCCAGCTCCAGGGCGTGCCTCAGTGCCTCCAGGTCAGCGTGGCAGGATATCCGCCAGAAGGGCATGTTGTGCTGGAACACAGGACACAGGCACGGTCACAGCCCTGCCTCGCTCCGTCCCACGCCCTTGGTCAGGGGAGAAACGTGTTGGGTCGCCTCAGCTCGGTGGATGCTAGCTGTGTGAGGATGACGTCGACACACAAGAGGACATTTCTAGGTCAGTGGGAAGAAGTCGGGAGGAACAGGACAGAGCATATACATAGGCGCAGGGACGTAGAGGAGGGAGTTTGGGGTTTTCAGTGGTGTGAAAGTTGAGCTTGGTCTAGAGTGTGGGGGCTTCCCAAACCTTGAGGAATAGGATGTCCCCAGCAGGCTCGCCTCCGGCCAATCCCCATGGGCATGGCAAGGCCATTTCTGCCCATTCAGAGCCTGCTTTGCTCCCCTTGCAACGACGGGGGTGCTCCCCTTTGACCCTCTCCTTTGACCTCTGCTGGTACCTGCCTGGGCTTGGGCAGTGTGCTGACATGGCATGGAATCACAAAGTGGGGAGGCGATTTTTTTTTTCCTGAGTTGGGGTCTCACTCTGTTGCTCAGGTTGGAATGCAGTGGTACAATCACTGCTATCTGCAGCCCCAACCTTCTGTCTCAGTCTCCTGAGTAGCTGGAACTACAGGTCCATGCCCCCACATCCAGCTAATTTTTTTGCTTTTTAATTTATTTTCGAGATGGGAGTCTCACCGAGTTGCCTAGGCTGTGATTCCTTTTTAAACATGTGTTCTTGGCTGGGCATGGTGGCTCAAGCCTGTAATCCCACTTTGGGCGGCTGAGGCAGGAGGATTGCTTGAGGCCAAGAGATTGAGGCCAGCTTGGGCAACAAAGCCACACCCCGTCTCTACAAAATTTTAGAAAAGATAAAGAAAAGGGAAAAAAGTGCTCTCAATCATGCTACTTCTAAAAGTCTCAGCCAGGTGCTAGGCCCCTCTCTATCATGTACTAATTCCCATTTTGACCTGAGCTGGTCTCTGAGTTTAGGGCAGGCCTCGGTCTCCAGCTAGGGCAGGTAGACACTCATCTGTTTCCTTCATGGCTGTTTTCTCTCTTCCCTTTCTTTACAGCCCGTGGTGCTTGTTCTGTCTTACTGGCATGATGCCAAGTCTTCAATTTTATTTTTTTTGAATCAAGGTCTCACTCTGTCCTCCAGGCTGGAGTGCAGTGGCACAATCACAGCTTACCGCAGCCTCTACCTCCTGGACTCAGGTGATCCTTCCCCCTCAGCCTCCCGAGTAGCTGGGACCACAGGCATGTGTCACCATGCTTGGCTCATTTTTTTAAAATTAGAGATGAGATGTCGCTATGTTGCCCAGGCTGGTCTTGAACTCCTGGCCTCAAGCAATCCTCCCACCTTGGCCTCCCAAAGTGCTGGAATTATAAGCGTGAGCCACTGCATCTGGCAAGCTTAAATAAACGAGAGTGGATTGAAAGGAGTACCTTAAATAGTACAGGCGATACATGGTTACCACAAAAATTGTGACTGATGTAAGAAACAGTGGTTTAATTATGGCAAAAAAAAAAAAATCACAAATGCGGAAGAAGGACTAATGTGCGACAGACCTGTGAAACGCTTCTACGGGGTGATGGCTAGGGGCAAGGGTGCCCTGTCCAAAGCTCTGGTTGCCCGGCACCAGCTGGGTGACCTTAGGCAATGTACTTTGCTGGTTGTCTGAAAAATGGAGATAATACTTGCTGTATACAGTTGCTGTGGCTATTCACAGTGCTTGGTGCATACTAAGTGCTTGATAAATGTTAGGTGTATTACAATTATGTCTATACACCTAGGGCATATCTAGAGAAATGGGACAAAGTCAGAAAGGGAGCAGGACAGATTGTACATATATATGTGCATGGATGTGAGGAAGAAATCTGGGGGGGTTTCAGTAGTTTAAAAATAATAAATAAGACATCATGAAGAGTTAAAAAAATCATGCAGGCAGGTGTTAATAAAATGTTGTGGGAGCCAGCAAGACACTCTTTTTTGGTGGAAGTGAACGGAATGGGGGTGTCCCAGAGGAGAAGGGGTACATGAGAACCAGGCTTTGAGGGGTGAATGAGGGCTGTGTGCTTAGCAGGTCGCTGGAGGGAAGGGCATCCCAGACAGGGTGTCTCGGGGCAAGCAAAGGAGAAAGCACAAGGATACCAAGGGCAGGTGACCTGGAAACACCGTCAAACACCACCATGGTTATTTTCTCTTCCTGTTTGGGCACTGTCTCGTGAGTATGTGATGTCTGGAATTGTGGCAGCCATCTTGAGGTCACGAGGGAGCACATCAGGAAAAAAAAAAAAAAAAGCCAAGGATGGTCAAAATGGTAGCACAAAATGATGAAAAGGGATGCTTGGGGAATTTTGGACCCATGGAACCAACTCAGAGTCCACCCACTTCTAATCTTATTAGTGCAGGTGTCTAAGCCATTGTTCTATGGGTTTTTGCTACCTCCAGCTCCAAGACACTGAGTCCCCTCAAGACAGTCACTGGCCTTAAATTATTTACTGAGTAAAAGAATGATTTTCTTTTTTTTTTTTTTTGAGTCGGGGTCTCACTGTGTCGCTCAGGCTGGAGTGTGGTGGCATGATCATGGTCCACTGCAGCCTCGACTACCTGGGCTCAGGCGATCTTCCTGCATCAGCCTCCCGAGTAGCTGGGACTATAGGGACTTTAGCTATTTTTTAAAACTTTTGGTAGAGACAAGGTCTCACTATATTGTTCAGGCTGGTCTCGAACTCCTGGGCTCAAGTGATCCTCCTGCCTCGGCCTCCCAAAGTGCTGGGATTACAGGCATGAGCTACTGCACCCAGAAAAACATGGTTCTTTTTTTTTTTTTTTTGAGTAGGAGTCTCACTCTGTCACCCAAGGTGGAGTGCAGTGGCATGCTGCTCACAGCCACTGCAACCTTGACCTGCTGGGCTCAGATGATCCTTCCACCTTAGCCTGCCAAGTAGCCGGAACTACAGGCATGGGCTGCCACACTTGGTTAATTTTTTGATTTATTGAAGAGACAAGGTCTCGACAAGTTGCCCAGGCTGGTCTTGAACCCCTGAACTCAGGCAATCCTCTCGCCTCAGCCTCCCAAAGGGCTGGGATTATAGACACGAGCCACCGTGCCCGGTCTAAAAGATGGTTCTTGACGAGCATGTGGGTGCCGTGCGTCAAGCCCTTTCCTGCCTCTGAGGCACTTATTACTCTGCCAACTCTATTTCTTTTTCTTTTTAGAGACAAGGTCTTGTTATGTTGCCCAGGCTGGTGTGCAGTGGCTATTCACAGGCATGGTCATAGCACACTACAGTCTCGAACTCTTGGGCGCAAGTGATCCTCCCACCTCAGCCTCCCGAACAGCGGGGGCTGCAGGCACACACCGCAGCACCTGGCTCTGCCTGGTCTTCATATCCTCGTCATCTTCACCCCTCTGGTCTCGATGGGCAGAATAATAGCCCCCAGGGACAGGCAAGTCCTGATCCCTAGAACCTGTGAATCTGCGATCTTACATCGCAAAAGGGGTTGTGCAGATGTGATTCAGTGAAGGGTCGTGAGATGCAGGAGATGATCCTGAGGACGGGGACTCTGTCCGACTTCACGGCTGTGTCCCCAGCGGGATCTGTTGCACAGATGGCTTGTATCTATGGGCTTTTGCTGAAGACTCAGAGAAACCCAAGGAGAAGAAACAAGATAAGGGCATCTCCCTCTAAGTGCTATGAAGGAAACAGAACAGAGGCCGGGGTAGAAAGCAGCGGGGTGTATGTGTGTGTGTGTGTGTCCGTTTTGGCAGCAGGAAAGGCAGAGAGTCTATGGAAGTGTCATTTGTGCAGGCCCTAGAGGACAAGAAGGAGTCATGCAAAGACATGGAGGAAGGCAGAACACACAGCAAGTGCAAAGGCCCTGAGGACGGTGGAGCCTAGAATGAACGTCATTGCTGCATCACCTGGCTCTTGGCACACAGTAGGTGCTCAAGAAAAATTCGTGGAAGGAATGGGGAGAGGAAGAGAGGGTGGGAAAAGGGGAAAGGCAAGCTTCTTAAGCAAAGCTCTCTCTGAATGCGTCTTTCCTCTCTTGTAGCTTCGGACCAGTTCCCAGCCCGAGGGCCTCAGAGAACTGCCCATGGCAGCACTGGGTATATCTCTTTAAAGCCGTCTTGTTGTCCCAGCCACCCCACCCCATCCTTCCCACCAGTCTTCCCTTCCCCGCAAAGAGGGAGTCTGGGCCACCCGCCAAGCTTGTCCCCTTTCAAGAGTGGGATTCATCCTTCTGGCAGAGAATGAGCAGAGGTGGGCAGGAGTGTCCGGCTGCCACCACCCAGGCTCGATGGCTCCAGAGGCCGGTGGGTCTGTCACTCACGGAGAGTGAGGACAAAGACCCTGCGAGAATGGAGACATCAACAGCGCTGTCAGCAGACGTGGCACAGCCCTGGCCCTGTGGCACGTGTCATGCCGCTCAGGTGACTGGCGGCCCTGGCTAATCAGGCCCTGGAGTCACTGGCCAGCAGTGCCTCACGAACAGGATGGGCCCTGCCTCAGGCACTGGCAGGGGGTCTTCAGGGGAACCTGGAGTGTGGGGGCCCATGTCTCCTTCGGTGGGCTCCACTCTCATCTGACTAGCTCAGGGGTGTGAACCGACAGAGCGGGGACTCCTGAGCCCACCTGGTCCCTGCCAGGCACCTGGAACACAATGCAGGTAGGTGGGCATGTGCCCGCTGTGTGACTTTTGGCAAATTAACGAAACTCTCTGAGTCTCAACTCTGTCCTCTGTAAGGATTGAATAAGTTGATGATGTTAGTCTGGGCGCAGTGGCTCATGCCTGTAAATCTCAACACTCTGGGAGGCCAAGACAGGAGGACTGCTTGAACCCAGGAGCTCAAGACCAGCCTGGGCAACATAGCGAGACCTCGTCTCTATCAAAAAATCAAAGAATGAGCTGGATGTTGGTGGCACATGCTTGCAGTTCCAGCTACTCAGGAGGCCGAGGTGGAAGGATCGCCTGAGTCCAGGAGGTCGAGGCTGCAGTGAGCCTTCATCGTGCCACTATACTCCAGCCTGGGTGATCAAGTGAGACCCTGACTCAAAAAAAAACGACATTAGTAAAAAAGGTTGTGGTGGAGAACATGGGGGGTCAGGTTGCCTCCTCGGGGTGCCAGCCACATGCCCGTGGTGACTGAGCCTGCCGCTGTCCCCAGTATCCCTTCTCCCCCTCGCTTTCAGAAGAAGCTCTCGTTTGTCAGTTGGGCACAAAATGGCTGCACCTTCCCAGGAAAGGGGAGGAGTCTTCAAAGTGGAGGGAACAGAGTGTGTGAAGCCTTCTGAGCGCCTCTCTCCCAAGCCCCTCTCCGGCCTCTTAGGGCGCTGCTCTTCCCCTGCATTTCATCCGCCCCAAGACCCTAAACATTTCCGCATTTCCTTGGGATTTGTTGCCAGGCAGAGGAGGGGGAAACCAGGTCCCCCAAATGAAGGCCTGTGCCGTTAACGATCCACCTCGCAGACCTCCGGGTGGGGGGCCGCAGCCTCTCTGGGGCGCTGTTGACAGGTCCAGACCCCGGGCTCTGGCAGCTGTTTCTTTTCCAAGAACAGAGATGTGGCCACCAGGACCCCCGGGCCCTCCTCGGGGGCCCGAGACCACAGATGCCGGGCTTGCCTTTTCATTAGCTTAATGCCACCTTTATTAACTGGGAAGCGTTCCTGGAACTTAGAATCGGCTGCTGCTCACTGAAGCGCAGGCCCGTGCGCCAGCCTGGCCCGGTGGGGTGCTGGGCTCCCTGCAATCATCCCAGAAACTGGCCCCTGCCCAGAGGGGGATTTGCAGAAGGAAATTACTCAGGATGCTTCTGCTGGCGACAGGGAGCCCGGGAGAGGGGAGTGTGCCAGGGGAGCCCTAGGCGGGACCCCTGGCGGGCTCCAGGAGCAGGGGGCGCAGTTGAGGCGGCCGGGACGCACCTTTTTGGCTCCTTGCTCCTCTTCGACGCCGTCTCCGATGACCACGTAGACAGCCTTCCTGCCGAACCGCTGCATGATCCTCTCGAAACAGCTCTCCTTCCCTGGACACATGGGGCGGGGGCGGGGGGGGGAAGGGAGAAGAACCGGCTTGGTGAGGACCCAGGGCTACAGCCAATACCAACCACCAACTGAGAGCTTGCTGTGGGCGGCCTCCTCTGAGGGCCGCCAACAAATCATTTCATCCGCTGTTACCAGAAGGATGATGACAACACGGAAACAGAGAGGTTAAGCAGCTTGTTCAGGGTGACCCCACAGGAAGAGGCAGCGCAGGGGTTACAAGTAGGCTCCAGAGTCCTTGCAGCTGTGATGGTGATGGCTGCACAGCTATGTGAATGTCCTTTTTTTTTGGGTAGAGATGGGATCTTGCTATGCTGCCCAGGCTGGTCTCAAACTCCTGGCTTCAAGCAATCCTCCAGTCTCAGCTTACCAAAGTGTTGGGATTACAGGCATGAGCCATCACGTCCGGCCATGAATGTACTTAATGCCACTGTACTGTACACTTAAAAATGGTTAAGATAATGAAAATTTTATCTTATGTTATTTTATCACAGTTAAAAAGGAACATATTTAAAAAAGAGGTCCTAGGCCAGGTGTGGTGGTTTATGCCTGTAATTCTAGCACCTTGGGAAGCTGAGGAGGGAGGATTCCTGAGGCCAGGAGTTTGAGACCAACCTGGGTAACAAAATGAGACTCTATCTCTACAAAAAAAAATTAAAAAATTAGCCAGGCATGGTGGTTAATAAACCTACAAAAAATTAAAAAGAATTAGCCAGGCATGGTGGTGCACACCTATAGTCCCAGCTACTCGGATGGCTGTGGTGGGAGGATCATTTGAGTCCAGGAGTTTGAGGCTGTGGTGAGTAATGCCACCGTCTGGCGTGGGTGATAGAGTGAGATCCTTCTCTTAAAAAGAAAAGAAAAAGAAAAAAAAAGGCCAGGCGTGGTGGCTCACGCCTATAATCCCAGCACTTTGGGAGGCCGAGGTGAGAGGGTTCCCTGAGCCTTTGGATTCGAGACCAGCCTGGGCACTTGGCGAGACCTCATCTCTACATGAAATAAAAAAATTAGCTGGGCATGGTGGTGTGTGCCTGTAGCTCCAGCTACTTGGAAGGCTGAGGTAGAAGGATCGCCTGAGCCCAGCAGGTCGAGGCTGTGGTGGCTGTGAGTGTGCCACTGCACTTGAGCCTGGGCGACAGTGAGACTCTGACTCAAAAAGAAAAAAAAAAAAAGAATTAAAGAAAAAACAGCCCCCCAAGAAAACCAATATTCCATGCCATAAAAGGAGGTAGCTGATGATAAACTAACAACGTTGTTAATTTCTAGTCGTTACATTGTCCTGCCTGCTGAAAGCTCTGAGCTTAGTTAGCTTTGTTCTCCTTGTTAAGAAGGGAGTTCTAGATGTGTTGAAGACAGGCTAGCCTCACATAGAGACTCTTATGGAATCAAGAAAGATGATACAATGTGGCTCAACATTTGGTTCAAGGTTACTTGATGACCAAGGTTATCTGATGCACCATCTGCATTAAACGTCACCCAGGTGCCATGCCATGCTGAGGACGGTTCCTCTCTTCATCCTTAGGAATAGATTTCCACGAATTTCGGCTGGGCACACAGACTCTCAGCTATGGACACCACTTCCTGGTTTCCCTGGCAGCCAGTGCGGCCACGTGACTGAGGTGTGACAGCATGTCACACGCACCCCTTCTGATTTGGCCTTAAGATATCAGACATGCTGGAGGGCGATGCATCAGGATTCTGATTTGATCACACACATGAGAATAAAACTATAAGAGACAGAAGAAGAAAAGGGGAGGGGCCTGGGTTCCTGGATGATTTGGAGGACAGGGTCACCCCAGCAGTCGGATTACTGTTACATGAGGAAAAAAACGAGCTTTGAATCTATGGAAGCCCTTGCATTTGGCTGTGTTTGTTATGCAGCTTTGCATGTGTCCTGACTAATACACTTTGGAAAACTGGTCCTAACCCATTTCTTCTTTTTCTTCCTCTTCTTCTTTTTTTTTTTGAAGTCAGGGTCCCACTCTTTCGCCCAGGCTAGAGTGCAGTGTGGCACAATCACAGCCCACCACAGCCTTGACCCTTCTGGGCTCAGGGGATCCTCCCGCCTCAGCCTCCTGAGTAGCTGGGACCATAGGTACACATCACTGTACCTGGCTAATTTTTGGATTTTTTGTAGAGAAGAAATCTCACTCTTTTGTCCAGGCTGGTTTCAGTCTCAAACGCCTGGGCTCAAGTGATCCTCTCACCTCAGCCTCCCCAAGTGCTGGGATTATAGGCATGCGTCCCTGTGCCTGACCCTACCCAATTTCTTTTTTCTTTTTGAGTTGGAGTCTCACTCAGTCGCCCAGACTGGAGTGCAGTGGCCGCTCCCGGCCACCGCAGCCTCACCTGCTGGGCTCTGGTGATCCTTCCACCTCAGCCTTCCGAGTAGCTGGAACTACAGGTGTGCGCTACCATGCCCGGCTCATTTTTGATTTATTGTAGAGATGAGGTCTCGCCAAGTTGCCCAGGCGGGTCTCGAACCCACGGGCTCAGGCAATCCACTCACCTCAGCCTCCCAAAAGCACGGGATTACAGGCTGAGGTTAAAGCAAGCAGGCTGTGAGGTTGGAATCTGAGTCGGGCCGGGACAAGTCCCGTAATCTCCCCAGTGCCACAGTCCTTAAACATCCCATTCCCAGTGTGGAAAGCTAAGCTCAGCCTCCCTCCCTTCGTCCCCGAGGTCTGGCTCCTCCTACCTGTCTTGGTTGCACTGTAGATGTTCTCAATAGGGAACACGGAACCCAGCCCATACAGCAGGACTTTGGCCAGAGCAGGAATTAGCTGAGTGGTGGTGACCAGCACATTGACACAGTTGGGCCTACGGACAAAGGAGACCGTGGGTCAGAACTCAGAGGGACCACATGGCCAGGCCCCTCCTCCTGCTGCATAAGCCTGAAGTCATGGGAATTCTGGGGGGCTTAGAGGCTCTGGCTGGTTGTCTTCTGGGAAGGGTTGGGTCCAGAAGAGTTGGGTTCAAGGGTGCTTCAGCTTCTTAAGACTGAAGCTGCCTGATACAGTGAAGTGTAATATGGGTGTTTAGTGCAAGGGCCATACACTTAAATAGTTGCTGGGGCCCTATAGGTCATGTAAATGAGTGATAAGGAACACGTGTAGGGTAACAGGACATGGTGGGGACTGGGGTAAATTGGACAGCACAAGTCAGTTCTGATCTGTTAAGAGAATTCAGACACCCAGAGGCCTGCCGGGCCCTGATAAGTGTCTACAGCCCTTAGGTCAAGTCTGCTGCACGGTACCCATGAAGTCTGCACACCTGAGCCTTATTATATGTCCGGAAAGTGCAGGTGAGAATTTGGGGAGTCCAATTCCCCCAAGTGTGGACATGGAGGAGCTACCACCATTTCCTGGGAGGAAGTTTAGTGGCACAAAAAAACAGGGGCTCCACTTGCCGGGAGTTGATGAGGTTCAGAGCCTTCAGGGAGTGCGTCAGCCAGAGGTCTGTGAGCGCTTCCAGTTCGGCTCTGAGCTGCAGCCAGGTCTCTCTTTTGGGAGCGCCTATCAAGCCTGTGGACAAAGGAGACAAAAACATATTAGATGTAGTTTCTGTTTATTGGATGATTTTATCAGATGTATTAGAAATTTCTGGGGGATGGGGCTAGGGAAGAGAGTCTCGCTGCTGTACCCCGAGGGTTCAAATCAGATGACTTCAGAGGTCAGCTTCAGTCCGGTGGCTCCGTAATCTCATCCTGAGATAAATGGACTGAAAGATCAGTCAGGCACTGATTAATCCATCCACCCACCCACCTATCCATCCATTCACCTGTCCACTTGTTCACTCCTCCACCTGTCCACCCATCCACCTAGCGGCCCGTCCATCCACTGCTCATCCACTCTTCTATCTGCTTACCCATTCATTTACCCACCCATTCAT